TGTATTACACAATGTTTTAAATAGGGAATTCAGTGTTGTAGGACTGTAATTAATTGCATATTTCACAGAAGCATTTGATCCCAAATCAAGAGCCCAAAGTCTTTCTTCATGCAGGCACTGGAACCTGTCCCCAGCCTCACTGTAATATCAGCGTGTTCATTCAATGCTGCCTAATACTTCTAGCATACCAGAATTTGGAGCCATTCCAATCCAGCATTTACTCGTGGCTGCCTGGCCAAAGCCAGGAGATGCTGTGCTGGGCCTTGTTGTACATGTTTGCTTTGATAAGAACATAAGAAGATCCATACTGCATCAGACCGAGAATCCATCCAGTCCAGCACCTCTTATAGGCCAACAAGCTGATTGGCACCTTCATATCCAAGTTCTCCATTAACTGGTGTGGACAGGCATACTACCTCTGGTACTGGAGGCAGCACATATCTAACAGAAGTAGCAGCCATTGATAGCCTTCCCTTCCAAGAATGTATCTAATCTCCTTTTACACCTATCCAAAAGCCAACTGGCTCTTCCTGTGCTTATACAGAATCTTACATCTACCACTAGAAGTAAAATCCACTGTCAATGACAAGTTCAGGATTGTTTTGGACAGATGTTGAACAAACAGTGCCTCTGAATATTATGCAGTATGGTCAGTATAGAAGTGCAACTGTTTTGTGCCTCTTGTCCTCTCTTGTCCTTGCAGTTTCCAAAATTCAACTTTTTCAAGCATCTCTTCTGTTTCCTAGATGTGCATGCAGTCTACATATTTCGAATTTTGTTCACCTGACCATGGCGGTTCAATCAGTAGGACATTATTAACCACCCTTTGTTCAAAATTCAATTGTTAGCAATGGCATTAAACTTTAGAGCAGGGACTTCTGGAATAAACTTTCTTAGTTCTGAAAACATGAAGTATCCCTGTTTTGAGGCCTCTCTGCTACCAAGGTAGGTTTCAGGAAGCATGTTGTAAACCATGATTTATCTGTGTGCTGTCCTGTTTTACTGTTGTGCTGGTGCATAGATGCCTGCTTTTACTGGTTTTCTACCCTATTTTGGGATTATTTTGTAATGAAAAGTGTTCAATAAAGTTTATAAATAAATAGAAACACATATAACCAGTCTGACATCTGAAAGATGGAAGTGATATTATTCTCAAAATGCTTCAAAAATAAGACACAGCGGGCTTTTGATAATTTCACAAGTTCATTAATAGAAGGCTGCACAAATCTCCTAAGTAGCATAGCTGTGCTGAATGGCATTCTGCGGATGCAGAGTTGGCAGCAAAAGAAGATTTCTTTGCTGCCAATACTGCCAGAAAAGAGGTTCCCAAGTGGGCCCTTAGCCATCTTCTGCTGGAACTGAGCCAAGACTTCTGCTATCCGTACGCTAACCATTATCACAACTGCTTCATCTCCAGTACTCCTTGAGGAATTCCTTGATACATAAACTGCCACACAGTGAATCAGATCACTGGCCTATCAACTTCCCAGCTGTCTACGCAGACTGGTGTGGCTCTAATAGAGCTTCCAGAAAGGAGTCCTTCCCAGTTCTGCTTGGAGATTCCAGGGAGAGATCCTGGGAGCTCCAGCAGGCAAAGCAGGGAACTGCATTCCCCCACGCAGCTCGAAGAAGGGTGGGAGATCTCATCTTCAGCAGGGATTGGATTCATGGTCAATGAGTCCTCTGGAACTTGTCCAGCACTGAGCAGCTCCCTCTCGTCCTTTCCAGGACACTAGATGAAAGTATTAGGCCAGAAGCACATTGACTGGGCTCAGAAAAGACAATAACCTGCTCAAGGGATGAGTGTGCTTCTTGCTGGACCATGGACTATCGTGCTGTGCTGTGTTACTGGGAGTTACCCCCTCACTGCAATGTAGCCTTAATGGAACACTGACTGGGAGGATAAGCAGGGGCTTCTCAAAGCAACTGGAGATAAGCCCAGGAAGTTGGTGGACCAGATGGGAACTTCCGAGGTCAAGACCCGCAGATCAGAGTTCTCTCACCTCTGTCCTGAGGCCTAAAAATTGTTGCCTGCTTGACTCGGCTATCCTGAAACTTTTAAGATATTTTGGGTATTATGAGATGAAGAGTCTTGCTTGTTCTTTGGTCACTTTTATTATTATAATTTTTTTACTTGCTTACTTGAAATAGAGATTACTGCCAACCTAAAGCATATAGCATGAAAGGTCATGGGGATGAGGTGTTGTACGTTTTTTAGACCTTTCTTTCTCAACCAAAATAAAGCTTCCTCACAATTTGTCAATTTGGTTAATCCCAATTCACCAGGCACTTTGCAGTTCCATTAGGTTTACTTGCTGTGATTTGAAAATAAGAGCAGCTGGCAGCTTGCAAAATAAATAATCTGAGGCAACTGCCTAAACATAAATGTGCATTAAGCACACTTTACTTCTTAAAATATAACTCTTCAAAATGAACCATAACCTGTGCCACATTTTTCATTCCTTGGTGACAATATTGCTATTGGGACAAGTGAGATCTAAAGACAGATCTAACAAATGTTTTTGCTATCGCTGTAGCACCCTGCTAATGTGTAGCATGCAACCAACACTAGACACTGCAGTTTTAAGTTTATGCTTAGTTTTAAATGCAAATGTACATTTCTAAATATCCAATGTGCTCTAAATTAGGGATGTGCAAGGAATCCATTTGAGGGTAGGCTCAGCTTCCAGATTCCTGTCCATTTTGCAGCAGCCCAGAGTTCAGGTTCCTGGCAAGCATGCCCAGTACCTGTGGGGCTCTCACCAAGAACTGAGCCTCATGCACTGTACAAGCAACACCCATTTCCCACCCAAACACCAGCAGCAGTGAGAAGGGAAGACAGTCACTGGGAAGGGCCCCTGGTGAACCTGCTCACAGCAGGCTTTTCCGCATCCAGCAGGACCTTTTCCGCATCCAGCAGCCTCTTCTGATGGGCAACATTCCTGGTTGCACAACCAGGCGTCCATGAGCGATCATGGACATCCTCTTGGCTCCGCTCACTTCACTGGATTGGGCTCAGCAAAAGAGGAAGTCTGTGGGCACTAGAGGGATGGATTCCTAAAGGGTTCATCCCAACCCTCCTTTAAAATATGGCATAGGAAGGCTAAAGTGATGTCAGGGATGAGGAATGAATATATTTTAAGATAGCACTGACTCTGTTAGGATAATGCTGTCTGTTCACGAATGTTCCTGTTAAACAAACCTGGAAAAAATACTGCTACAGAATGAAGACACTAATCCTCCTGGAAGAATATGCCACTAATGGGTATTATTCAAAAGATATTGACATAGACTAATAGAGTAATCATGATATAAGCTCTTTTTTTCAAGTAAACTAGGGGTGGGAAACTTGTGGCTCTCCATATGCTTTAGTCTATGGAATCTAACAGCCCTAGCTATCATACTCAATGTTGAAGTTTGATGAGAGTCATAGACCAAAACATCTAAAGGGCTACACAAAACATTAGCTTGAATAGTGTCTTAAGTGAAACCAAGACTGGCATCCATTTGCTGTACAGAGTGAGCCCAGCTCCCACATGATACAGTCTGCTCGGTAAAATTTGTCCAATTCTGAGTAGGAGGCAGAAGAGCAGAGTTGGTCAGATGACTCTGCAGGTCCAAGGTTTCCTAGTGAAGATTCTTGGCTACAGTGTGAGAACCAGCCTGCCTTATAAATGGAGGGAGACCATTCAGAACTGACAGAGGAGAAGAGTGGGACCTAGTTCCTTGATCTGGTCAGGAGACAACAGGTAAAATGAGTGAACCAATCAAGAAGGGTCTGGTATTCCCACCATTTAGCCCTCAAGCAACAGAAGCGACTGCAGGTGGAGTCAGAATCTTTTCAGAAAGCAAGGAAAGGAGAGAAAGCTTCACTTTGTATTCAACTCTTTACATGGGCTGATGCTTTTCTCACCTCTCAAAGAGAACACTATGTTATTTATACTGCCGTAAAACCTGTTAAAAAGTTTCATCTGAGTCTCCTGGAGTAGAAAAGGGGATGGAGAGACCTGTTCACAGCTGCTGCTCTCCTCCCCCACTTCCTTCCCTCCTATGTGCCTCAGCTAAACATCTTGTCTCCCACAGTTGTGCTTTTCCATTGCCAGTCAAGCTTTTCCATTGCTCATCTACCCACTTCCTGGCCAGGTTGCGCCAGAGGCAGGGACAAGGGAAGTGCATGCAGGCCTTCACGGTGTGTGGAATCTAAGCAACCCAGCCCAGAGGTAGACAGGTAGGCAACCGGCCAGGTAATGCATGAAGTGGGCAATCGACCAGGAGGCGGGCATGGCAGTGGCACAGTGGCTGGGCATTGGGGAGTGTGTGCCAGGAGTGAGGATGGGGAGCAGCTCTGGGGGCAGCAACTGCAGGGGCAGCTGTGCTTGGGGCTCCTGCCTCATCGTTGCTCCACTGCACCTGCCAAGCCACCACGCAGCTCTGATGAGTAGATGGGTGCTCTGCAGAGCAGCCGGAAAAAACCAAAAGCAGCAGCTGGCTGGGAACAGCCCCAGGGGAGTGTGTGCAGGCCAGTGGGGGAGAGGCAGGTGACGCAGGCGGGGGCAGTGCATGCTGGGATTGGTTCCCAGCCATGGGGAATACGGGACGCATGCTGCCATTTGGAGGGAAGAGTGAGACATGTGGAAACTACTCATGAGCGGTTATGCCGCAAATGTGTGCATACAGGACACAAGGTAAGGAAGGTAATTTTGTGCTATTCCTTAGTGTTGTGTGTGAACATACCCAGTGCCTGGTAATCTGGGCCTTTGGTATACTGAGGGGAGGTGCTTATTTATTCAAAAATAAGCACAAGGATTTGTGGATGGAGTCTTATCTACACCTATCTGGGAGGAAACCTTGTCAAAAACAAGTACGTATCTATATCTATATATTTATGAGTAGATTCTATTGTTTGTACTATGAATCTAAACCCATGATACAGTTATAATAATAATGCACAAACATTCCTATCTAACCCCAGTTTTCAGTTTCTTCATATGTATACTCACAGATCATTGTAGACCAAGCCATAAATCTGTGACAGGCTGTGATGATAGATTCCACGCAGGATAATTAAAAGTAGAATCACAACAAAAGCTGGGAGACCCCAGCCCAGAAGAAAAAACATTAGATAGCGCCGTTCTGTGTGCTCATCATTCATCACCAGGACATACCAAAAATTAACAGCCTAGGGAATAATAGAAAACATTGGATCAATAAGTCTGACATGAACCATGAATAATACTGTAAAATAAAATCCTCACAAATGTTCACTTGTTCAGCACAAATATTCAGCCACATCCCCTCAAATACTGAAAGAAATCTTTAAAAAACATATTTAGGATGCTGGTTGAAGCATGCTGGGAGTTATAATACATTTTTTTTTCTTTTTAAGCAAGTATTGGATTGTGCCTGAAGGGTTTTTAAGTGGGTAATACAGTTTTGTAATTAGCCAGGGAGACCTTAAAAAAGACTCACTGAAGGTACAGTATACTATTATAATCTAAAGACCTAAACTGACCTGTGGCAAAAACCCTCTATATTTATGAACTCCAAGTGTTGAGATTAAATACTGAAATATAATGTGAGTGCAGAGTGGAGGTGGGAGAGTTGGACTGGGGAGTGGGGAGATCCAGGTTCTAATCTCCACTCAGCCATGAGGCTCACTGGGTGACTTTGGGCCAGCCACGGACTCTCAGCCTGAATTAGCTCACAGGGTTTTTGGTGTGAGGGCAAAATGGAGAGGAAGAGAACGTTGTAAGCTTCCTCAGGTTCCTTGTGTGAGGAAGAAATGTGGGTACAATGTAATATATTGCAAATAAGTGCAATGCAATAGTAATATTATGGTGATTGGCCATGCCATAAGCTCATTCTATTCCAATTTAAATAAATAAAATGCCCATCAATCCTATTGTAACAGTTTTGACTATAAAGAGGTTGAACACCTTCACCAAGGAGAAAAGTACTTAGGAATGAGTAAGCTCTCTAAAACCCAGCTTGGATCAATTCGATCACTATCCACTTTCCCTGAAAAACAAGGAAAAAAGCTGTCCAATTGTCCAAGGCCAATCCAAGGAGCTCAGAAAGACGAGCCCATCCCTGGAATGTCTCCTTGCCGGCTCCCAACCCCGTCTGAAAAACGACCTCCCTTAACTATTAACATCTTGTGGTGGCAGGAGCCACAGCACAGAAGAGAAAAAGTGCTTATTTCCCTTCCTCCTTGCCTCACGATCCCCCAGCTCCTTCATCAGCAGTACCCTGTGCAAAGACGGAGTGACTGGTGTATTGCCCTCAAGGCTGCAGCTGCTGGGTCTCAGTGCCCAGACCACTGCCATTCATCACACAGCAAAACTGAGCTGGCATGAGTTGGCAGACTGATGTGGCTGGGAAAAGAGAGGCTAAAGTGATTTTAAGCTCCATTAATAGAATCATAGTGTCCACATCACGGGGAATAACTGTTCCACTACATTCTGTAATAGTCCTATCTCCTCTGGATTAATGTGTCTAGGTCTAAGTGCCCCAGCTGAAGAAAGCATCTCACAAGATGCCCTTTCCACCAGAGATGACACACCACATGGTTTCTTCAGGTGGAAAGCAGGGAAGTGACAACATCAATGCAGCAATCCTAATTTTATTAATCCTTGCTACATTACAGGATCATTCATGTGAGCACAATCTCTTTCTAGAGTCCAAAGCAGGTAGCTACAGGAGAAGGTGGCATGCCCCCGAAACAATACTGCTAAGCAGATGGAGAACCAGGATAAATGTTCATAAGGTGACATGGGTAAGTATCTGCAGAATCTGAAGGTATGCTCAGGACAGACATGATCCAAGAACCTGTGCAGAACAGCCTCAGAAATTTGCTTCTCATTATTTTAGATGTATGTAGGCAAGAATTCCAAAAGTCAGACCAGTAAATTAAATGGCTCAACCTTAATACATTTTCATACTCCAAACAGGAAAAAAGGTTTGAATGAAAAAAAGTATGATGAACACACTATTCTGCATCCATGCATGCACACATTTCCCCCTTATTTTCTGGGCTATCATTTTAATTTCCAGCTTTCTGTCCCTTGTTACTGTTCTTTAACACATTATACTATTTTCTTCTTGTGACATTAGAAGAACAAATAAAGTGCTTGGCAGGAAGCAGATAACTCCATGGCCTTGTAGGCAAAACTAGGCCATGCTCCAACTCTAGACAGATGAACCCTGGAATTTATTTATGCCATTCTGTTTAGTCACAGAGCCATGATCCCATTAATTCTCTTAGAACAAGTCTTTTTAGTAATGTAACTCTTGATTGTTTCTAAGAACTGGGTACTGTGTGTCCTTGCCCTTGCTTTCTATATTTGTTTAATCACAGTTACCTATCTTCTTATCTCTTATCAAACATAAATAATATGCAGACTTGACTGGGCCTTGCAGAGTATGGTGTGAGCTATTTCAGTGTTATTTTCATCTTGATAACTGTATGTCTCTCATCTTTTGGTATTCCAAAATTAAACAGATCAAACATGGATAGCAGATCTAAATTTAGCAAGTCCTTTCCTGTTGCTATGGTGTAACAATAACCAGTTATATGGAGACAAAAAGGTACAGCGAGTTTCCTGGCTACTAGATGGAGAAACTCATGCAGAAGGTTCTATTGTGCTGTGGAGCACACGAGAAACGATTCACTCTTGGTATAAAGTTAAAAGAAACAATATTTATTTCACTTGAGATTTCTGGTTTAGACTGAAGCTTCCTCCAAGTCACCTTTCAGACAACGATGGCTCATATTTTTTAAGATGTTTCACTCTCAAATATTTATATACTTACAAGTAGAGCATAGAATGTGGCATATCCTAGCAAAACCGCTATTTTCTGTGTTGTCGAAAGAACTACACAATCAATTCTAAGATGTGTTGTTCATTGGATCACAAAAGCATATCTCTAATTTTATCTTGCTGCATTTTAACCATGCTGAAAAATCCACTGGCAAGGATTTCTTCAGCTGCCTTTTTAGGCCTAATTATGCAATTTTCCCAGCCATGTCAAGCCTCCTTTCACTTTCTTGGACCTGATCCCGCCTAGCTTCCAACTTTTCCAACATTATATTGTTTAGTTGCAAAGTCACGCCCAACCCATCATGACCCCATGGGCAACATTCCTCCAGGCTCTCCTGTCCTCTACCATACCCCAGAGTCCACCCAAGCCCACACCCACTGCCCCAGTGACTCCATAGTCAGCAAAGCACCTGCTATATTGAAAGACAGAGCAGAAGAGAATCCAATGCTTTTGTGGATTTCAGGCACAGGTACAGAACCATACTTGCAGCATCCCACCTTCCACCTGGTATTCAAGGCAGGGCTTTGCTCCTAAATCTGACTTTCTGTCATATGTTGGTACAGAGTGTGCTCTTCCAACAGTGTCTCTGAATGAAGCCTGTTACTTTATTCCCCAAAACTAAACCAAACTCATATGCATCAATAGCACGCACAGGACTTCTGCCTACCTTACTACAAGGAGGAGGCTGGGAGCGGGGTGAGTTCTGCATTTTACAATTTTATGCCATTTTGTCCTTGCATCCTCCCGGGCTGTTTGAACTTTCGGTAAATCCTTCTAGAGGATTTAAGCAGGACTTCCTTCCTTGGAGTTTTCCAGTGCTGTTGCCTGCTGTGTGCATGAAAGCTAAGTGAGGAGTTGTTATTTTGTTGTTGTTAACGGAATTTAAAGAACGACCAAACAAACCCCAAATGCCTCACTCAGCTTTCAAGCTCAGCTGAATGTAAGTCTGTATGGTCCCAATTTGAATAGGGACCATGGAAATAGGGACCATACATAGAAATGTATGAAAGGGGATTAAAGCTTCCCCATCCTGTTTTATGTTGGAAAATTCACACACATACACCCCATGGAGTATGTTAAAAATGTCTCCATGCCTTCCAATGGATATGGGCTTTTTCTTTCTTTTTCTGCCCCCCAATTCACTGGCAAGTGATGTGGAATTCTGGGATGAAAATGGGATGACTTCCTGCTCCTGAATCACCCTGGTCCTGATCGAAATAAGTATACTCAGGTAAGTAAATAAGCCAGTTGCACACAACTTCTGCACAAATAATTAGCAGAGTGTTCAGTCTGCTCTTCATCCAGCCACCTTAGTTTTGAACAGAAATTGTAAGGCCAGAAACAGAAAGCTGAAGGCCAGAAAAAAGAGCTTCAAGGGCAGCACCAAAAAAGCTGCCCAGGGCACCAGTAACAAAGTCTCTAAATCATGTAGCTGTTTTATTTAGATTCTTCGTTTCATGATATATGATGCAAACTAATCAATTTAGTTATATAAACATAATTATTCTATGGCACTAGTTAATTTCCTGCTTTTGGATTTTTGCAGTAATTCTATGACTCACTGGAATTGTATAATTATAATGAATGGCAGACTGTAATACATTTTATTTCCATTCATTATGGATAAGTGTGCACCAGTTAGCAAGACTTCACTTTTTCTTCATGAGCAATGCAGTTAATCTGAAAACAAAATTAATCCACACTACCCAACCAAGATGGTTGTGTGTGCAAGCACATCTCTCCCTCTCCCTCTGTGTGTGTGAGAGAGAGAGAGGGAGAGAGGGAGGGAGGGAGGGAGCATGCAAGTAAGCAGGGTGGACCAATGAAATTTCCATTAAACATGTAGAGATTTTCTTTCAACAATCCACATGCTGAAATTTTGCATAAAGTATAGTTTTCTTAATGATCCATAACCAGAATAAGACTATATGCGATAAGCCTCCTAAAGAGAGAAAGAGAAACAACCAGGTATTTTCACAGGATTTGATATCTTGACATTTCACCTGGAATGAAATGCAGCTGCCACAAATCCTCACAGCTACACAGCAGATCCAAATAGCAAAGGCCCACAGATAAGCATTTTTGGTGACTGCTGCAGATTTTGGTGACTGGCACTCTCTTCTCTTGAAACTACTTCAAAGAGCAAGCCTGAGCATTGTTGAAAATGACAGATTCAAAGCGAAACTTGCTAGCCATGTCTAAGTTCATAAAGGCACATGGCTTGGAAATACCTATTTTGAATGGTTTTATTGGAATATAAAGAGCTGGGAAATGAGATCGCTCTCTCTCCCATCAAAAGGGTGGCATTTGCTACATTCCACAACACTCAGCCCATTCTTTTTCCATGAATCGCAGACTGATTACAGAAAAAATAAAACAACAGACAGGCCAACTTCACCAGCTTCCTGGTGCTGGTGCTATCAGTTACTGAGCGTGAGGCTCAGATTTTCTGCATGACCAACTTGGCAACCAGAAACATAGAGATAGATGTTTTGGTAACAAAATCTGGAAGCATAACAGAATGATGCATATGAACAATTTCAGTAGTGAAAGTACCACAAAGTAATCCTGTTTGTGGCCTGTTTGCTTACACAAGAGACTGCTAGTGAAATATCCCATAATTTGTTAGCTTTCTTTGGAATGTGGGAAGAACCAGGCAATGCAAGCACTCCCAATTGTTTGTTTGTGATCCAGCAGTCCTGATTTGTACTTATAGTGAGACCACTTCAGTTTTGAAGCCATGTGGACGGGTGGCCTCCCCAACTTATAATTGCTTCACCAGCTGAGGGGCCACAAATGGGTAGGGAAAAGACATGTGACTGGACTACCTACCTGGTTTCCCTGCTCAAGGTTTAGTGCAACATTTCTATTTTAAAACATAAGAAGAGCCCTGCTGGATCAGGGCAATGGTCCACCTGATCCAGCATTCTGTACACACAGGGACCAACCAGCAGCCCTTGGGAAGCCCACGGGCAAGACCTGAATCCCATCCATACTCTCCAGGAACTGGTGGACATAAGCACACTGCCTCTGATAGAGGAGATGCATATAAACATCAGGACTAGTAGGCCTTGGAAGTTTCATTCTCCATCAGTTTGTAGCCTTTGTATCTTTCAGAGGCCATAAAAATTGGTGGCCACCCCTACATCCTGTGGAAGAGAACTCCTTGATTTGATTATGCACTGCGTGAAGAAGTACTTCTTTTATTTGTCCTGAATCTCCCAGCAATCAGTTTCATGGGATGACCCCAGTGGGTTCAAGTATTACAGGAGAGGTAGAAAAATGCCTCCCTCACCACTTCCTCCATCCCATGTATCATTTTGTGCACCTGTATCCTGTCTCCATTTGCTCATCCTTTTTCTAAGCTAAACAGTCCCTACAGGGGAAAGGTTCCAGCCATTTGGTTATTTTGCTTATCCTTTGCTGTATCTTTTCCAATCATCAAGTGAAAAAAGAATGTGATGGGGCTTCTCAGACACCAAATTTCACCTCAATTCAGGGCTCCCATTGCAATGAACACTCTCTACTACCACTGGCCATAGCATTGGTTTCCTTGGGGACATGAACTCCCTCCTCACAATCCCTTCCCTCTCAAGAATAAATTGCACCTTAATCATAACCATGATGAAGAGAAACATTAGCATTGACTGGGCTCTAGCTCTTGAGTTAAAGGAAAGAAGAATAAAGAAAGAGACTAACTACAGAAGGCCTCAGAATGTGCTCCAGGTGGTCTTACCAGCCTCCCATATTCCCTCTGACCAGAGGGACAGGAGTTGCTGTGTGCAATACTGTTTACTTCAATTGTATTAAAGAGTTCTGAGGTTCCTTGAAAGGCACTATGGAAAGATTTCTTTCCAAAAGGCAAGATATACATAGCTGTAATTTATGGGAAGTATCTTATAATGCCCACATACTGGCCACAGAACCTGTCAAGTGTACAAGAGGAACTTAGTGGAAATGGAAACTCTGAGCACTAGCAACTGGAAAGAAGTAGTGATGTGCATTTCTGGAATGGGTTGGTCAGCGGCACTCACAGAAGGGGGCTCCACTACTTGTCCGTTTGAACATGGCTGCATCCACTCATTCCTGCTGCACTACCAGTGGGCTTCGCTGGCATAACAGAACTAGCAGAGGGGCAGAGACAGTATAGAAGAATGTGCAATCACTGGTAGATTTAAAAAAAAAAAGGTTAATGGGGGATAACATTTCCATTTTACTGTGTAGAATGAGAAAAGTTTTCCTGTGAAGCTGGAGCTGAGAGCTAATTTCTGCTTTTCAATTGCTTAATGTAATAATTAATAGGGAGCCTACATTGCATTATACTATATTCCAGTGAAGATAATTTTGGAAAAGGATACAAAATGTATGGGGGAGAAGTCGCTTCTACAATGGAACATTTAGCAATGGAAAAAAAATGATATTTATGAGATCTAAGCCTTCTCTACATGAACCTTTTATTGTGCTTTTGTGATCCCTCATGAAAGTTTGTGGGGCCTTCTCACAACACTGCTGTCCTCCTTATCCACTCTTGTGTTATCCAGTGTGTGTGTGCGCGCGTATGTGTGTGCTGAGTGAGGAAATTGGTATTAAATGTTAAATTTCAACCAACTGGAACAAAGCCTCATGAAAAGAAAAAAACCCACTGTACTGTAGTTATCCCACAGTGTCACCTTGTGGTTGGTTCGTAGAATATATAGAAAGACAATTAGAAAAAGCCTGGTGTTAACACACACATTCTTCCTCTGCAGTGAAAATGGAAGATGAATCCTCCATGCAGCAGTGGACTGAACTTCTCATGCAGAGTAGCCCCTAGTGCACAGTCCTATGGCGATTACAGGCAACCTATGAAGAGCAGGAGCAGCCTGGAAGCAAAGGTTGCTTTGTGTGCTAGTATTTCTCTGCAAAGTACATAGCCTGCCACTTTCAGCCCCCTAAGTGTGAAGCTTCAGAGTAGGTAGGAAGAACACTGAGCTACCACCAGAATATGCCTGAACTTGGCAATGCCAGTCTCTGTCCCCTGTCCCCAAAATCCTTTCTCTGAAGTTGCATTTCCCACCTTAGGGAAGCGGCTGGCATGGTTCGTTCTGGGCCAGCTGTGAAGGGGGATCCAAGCACTAATGCCCAGCTATGGGGTTGGAACGGTTTTCCGGCTGAAAAACCCGCTGCCACTCCAGATGCTGCCCAGAAGTCATGGGACTGCAATGGTAGTTGTACAACAGAAAGGGCTTTGTTCTTCACACATGAAAGGAAATGGCCACAAGCTCTGCACATTTTCCTTCTCGATCTGCCTGTTGTTGCTGACTCAGTAATAGTTATTTATTTAATGTACTTTTATTCTACTTTTCAGGGGAAACATAGAAACATAGAAACACAGAAAACAGAGCGAGTCAGAAGGGGCCTCCCAGGCCATCTTGCTAAAAATTCTTTCTAAAAGCAACTCATGTCTATAAATATAAAAAAGGAGAGCAACTGTTGAATGAGTGTAAAGGAAAAATAATACTAACCTGAATAAGCATCCAGGTGAACTGAGAAAGGTAGAGGTAGTGGGTGATGGAACCCAAAGCTGAACAACTTTCCTCAGAGAGTTGCTGACTTGTATAAGCAGAGGCGAGAAATGAGACCTAGGAAAAAAATTAAATCAGCAAAAGTTAAAAATTGTGATCACAACATTAAGACAGCTGGCAAATGAACAAAATGTGCTTGCCTTAGGGAGAAAGAACAGAATGATCAATATCTGTAGATGATAGCATTGTCGGACCTATTCATTAAATGTGAGGGCTTGGAAATCCACTTGATGAAAAGCTCGCATTATAATTAGAGGCTAGAAGGAAAAAGTGGGTAGGTGTTCATACAGCATCTGCCTGCCTGTCTAATCATTACATGCTTTGCACAAGGTTTTTCACAGGAAATAGCAAGTTGTGGGGACCAAAGCCACTAGATACTTGTGGGCCTTATTTCCATGCCTGGCAAATAAGTTTTCAAGGGTACCAGAGGACACACCAGGAATTATTGCTGAGTGGAGAGCCAGCATGACATAATGGGGAAAGTGTTGGACTGGGGCTCAGAGACTCGGGTCCTAATCTTCACTCAGTCATGAGGTTGACTAGGTGACTCTGGTCCAGTCAGTATTTCACAGCCTAATCAACTTCACAGGCTTGTTGTGGAGATAAGAGAAAAAGAAGGTTATGCAAATTTCCTTAGGGTCCAAACAGAAAAAAGGTGGGAAATATAGATGTAGATATAGATAATAAAAAAGTATGGGTTGCATATAAGAAATGGAAGCGCAGAAGCACCTACAGGAGTACTTGTACTGGATTGGGTTGCCCATGTATAGGAACAGCAAAGCTACCTCCTGTATCCTGTTAGTTTTTGGTGAAGGTGCAATAGGAAAAGACTGCATTGCAGCAACATTCATTAGGGGCTAGATGTGGTGCCTGGTGAATTGTCTCACCCCTCTGGTTTTGAACTTCTACTCTAAAAGCAGTAGTCATACCACTTCTTTCTAACTGCTACTATGGCCATATCAGAATTTCCTTAAAAGCTCTGGAAGCTGAGGGGTAGCCAGGTTTGGTCCCAGATGCTGACTGTCATTAGCTTTGGTTGACTTAAGTTCTGACATATTCTTCACTTGACAGCAACTTCCCATTGAGGAAAACAGCAACCACCGACTATATTGGTGCTATTACATATTGCTGTTACATTAGCTCAAACACCATCCTTGATAATAGGGGCATTTCATACAGTAACAGGTTCTGACTATTGTCTCAGTAATTTTTTATGGGCATATGAGCACTATTTCTCTTTCAAAGCCAACACAATGTTTATCAGAGATCTACAATATTTAGGACAGTGAATATTGCTATACATCATCTTCAACACATTAATTCAGAAAAGAGGGGGGAACCCCAGAAAGAATCATGTTCAGAGCACGGGTATAGTTCAGTCTGCAACCAGTACAGATCCAGTCTATTGCTGAATCTAGGTGGGCTGTACTCTATCCACAACATGTGCTCAGGAAATCCTCCTTGTTTTGTTTTGTCCTTTTAAACCAGATTTTCCACTGAACTTTGGCCCAAATAACCTGGGCATATATGTGATTGCTGTGTTCTAGCTCTTCCATAACACTTAAAGTTACACTGTCATTAGGTAATGAAATAGAACAAATAACATAGAACTCAATAAAGCAAACATTTAAAATGATAATATGGGATGTTGTATTCTCACTACTGTAAGGAGTGGAGAGGAACTATAGTAATACAACAATTACAGAATCTTTTGATAGTAGATCGGTAAGAACATTTTGACACATGCCACTTACGTATTCAGGGCACACTTAGACAGTTAATAACCATGCTTCTGATACACATGGAAAACCAGAATGGTCCCACCATAGTAAAACTTATAATTCATTGCTATTAGATATATTGACACTTAATGCTTATTTTGATACCTTGAATTGGTGCAAATTGCCACAGTCAAAGTTGCCGGCAGTTTGCGCATCCCAGTCCTCCCCAAACTGGTGCTCTCCCAATGTTTGGATTACAGCTCCCATATTCTTGCTCACCTGGGCATGCTGGCTGGGATGAATGGATGGACATTTGGAGGGCACCATGCTGGGGAAGGTTGCTCTGTTTTATGCTTCAGGAAAGCTTTTACTTTTGAAACATGTGCAAAACTTGCATTATGAGTGTCTCTATAAAGCACCTATATGATTTATAGGTGTCCCTATAAAGCACCGAGCTTCCTTATGCTTTTGCCCCTGGCCCTAAGCAACTAAAGCTAATGAAGAGTTAAAAGCACAGTTTGTGAGAATACTGTGCCACAAGAAAAGTATATCCTAGACAATCATTTCCTCTTAAAAACTGCTGACCATCTAAAATGCTAAGTTCTTCCGAATAAAGCCTTGCAAAGCAACGGCGCTGTCTAGCAGAAGGGCTGCCCAAGTGGGACACAATCCTACGCGTGTTTAGGCAGACAGATGTCTCCAAACATGCATATGTTTGTGCCCCAGGTTGCAGATGTTGGCAGCAGGGGAACTCTGCATATGCTCCATGGGAGTCTCCCTGTGGAACATTAGCCAGGTTCCATTTATGACCGTCATACTTTTTAACATCCACATAAAAATGGATTGGGGGACATTATTAAAGAATTTAGAACACAGTATCAGTAGACTGATGACATCTCTCCATCTTCTCAAATCTTATGAGGTAAGAGAGTCCCTGAAATGTTTTCTGGCATAGGTAAAGGATTGGCTGAGGGCCACAAAACTGAAACTCAGTCCAGGTAAGATGGAAGCGATTTGTTATTTATGACTCTTCTGTACTTCCTTTCAGTGTCTAATTTCCAATCTTGCTTGGAAACATTAGAAAAGGGTTTAATTAAAACAACTACAAAACATAACCAACTAAAACATCCAAAGGAATAAAGAGCATCTTTTGCTGCTTTTGTAGAGTAGATCAGGGGGTTATCAGGTGTAATCTTTTGATGGTGGGCAGAATGAGTTCCTGCTCAAAGAGGCTCATTTCACTTCTGCTGGTGTTCAAGTGGCAGGTTTTAACTGTTCCATGTTTAGTTCAAAGAGCTCTTTAGCTGAGATTTCAAACTGCAAGGTTCACCTTCTGTAATTTACTTTTTAATGCTGTATGTGGTGAATCATTGCCAAATATAACGCAGAAGTCAGACTATTGGTCCTTCTGGTCAAACACGGTCTCCTTGGACTGGCATCCCCTTGCCAAGTACTCAAAAAGGGTCCCCCTCCCAGGCCGGCCACATGAGTTTCTTTAGTTGGAGGTCGGGGTGAATTGGTTTTATTCCTGTACACATGCATCAGTTTTTAACTGTAAACTGCTCAGTTAGATGCCATACAGATATTTAAACAAACAAGCAGACCAACTTGCCCATGGTTGGTCAGTTGGACATTTTAGGCACCTGATAAATTTTCAGATCTTTCTTCAATGTTTTTCTCTTGCTGTGATTATTTATAGTAAAAATAAATTCTTACTAGCAAGGGGGAAATATCCACATGCGTCTACTGTGAATAATGTTAGTTTTGGAACGTTTCTCCTCAGGATCTTATTCTTCCCTATTTAGCCTTGTACATTTGCCTTAAAGGAAATGCCCTCTGAATCCTTCTGTTTCAATTTAGTACAGCTTCAGATACAACCATGGGGTCATTAATTTTTTTAAATTAACTCTACTAATAGAAAATATAAGCTTTCAAAACAGCTGGTGTTAATCTGTTGCTATTTCTTGCAGAAAGGTTAAAGCAAACCACTGAGATCATTTAAGAAGCCCGACGATGCCGCTTCAGTGAAAGTGCAGCATGACAATAAGCCCATCCAATCTGAAGCAAGAAATAACTGAAAGCAGGAGAAAAGTTTGACATAGTTTGTTTGCATAAGACCGTGGCCAGGGCCTGGCCTGGAATGCACAAGCAAGCCTCTTCCCCACACGCAGGGCCTGGAGTAGGGGCTGTGGAGGCCACTGCAAAGAAATGCTGCCTCCCCCTCAGTGCAAGAGCAGAAGAGTGTTCTGTACATGCACTAGAAGAGGTGCATCCATGTGTTCGTGTGTGCGCACGCACGCATTGCCTCTCTGATTCAATCAAAAATGGTTGATTCCCCCTCTGTGCAGTAAGCACGCTTCATAAGCGTACACCAGTGTTTAGTGTGTGGCTTACCTGCTAAGGTGCGGGGACAGTTCTGCTCATGGGGTAGCTTAAATATAATAGATTTAGTGGTGGTTATCGTGTCTGGACAGGGCTGCAGTTCCCTTGCGGGACCAGCTTTGCACTGTGGGATTAGTCTTTGAACTGTCCTTATCACCAGAAGTACAAGTGGCTTGCAGGATGAATCAACTGCAGCCCTGCTTGGACCGATACAGTTCACTTCTGATGTCCCTGTTCAGTTCTGGGCTGCTATGCATTATATAAGGGACTACCTCTGCAGATGGTTTTGAAAACTTCAGTTAGTCCAGAATATAGTTCCACACTGGTAATTTGGAACTGTGTGGTATGCGAATATTATACCTGGTTTATCCACTGAACTGCTTCCTAGTCTGTTTCCAGGCTCAAGTCAAAATGCTAGTTTTGACTTTTAAAGCCTTTCCTGAATTAAGACCGGGGTATCTAGAGGATCTCAGTCTCCATATGTACCCTTCTAATGGCTTTCTAAGGAACTGCAGGTGGCGCAGTGATTTAAACCACTGGGCTGGTAGATTGAAAGGTCGCCGGTTCGAATCTGCACAACAGGGTGAGTTCCTTTTGCTCTGTCCCAGCTCCTGCCAACCTTAAAGTTCGAAAGCATGCAAATGCAAGTAGATAAAAAGGTACCACTTCGGGCAGGTAACAGCATTCTGTGCACTTCGGTGTTTAGTCATGCTGGCCACATGACCACAGAGACTGTCTGCGGACAAACGCTGGCTCCCTTGGCTAGGAAGCGGAGATGAGCCCCACCACCTAGAGTCAGGCATGACTGGACTTAATGTCAAGGGGAAACCTTTACCTTTTAATGGCTTTCTCCAAGTTCCCTTACTAGGTCAAGTGGGAGGAAAAGGCTTTTCAGTGATGGAATTCCCCAACTCTGGAATGCTTTTCCCAGAGGCACTTCCCTGACACCTGCCT